CTAGGATTTTAGACCTATTCGTACCCTTTCCCGACACCTAATATGCCACAGTCCAGTGGCCTTTTTCGAGGAAAGACATCCTGATCCCGGAGTGTTGTGTTGTTTTGTGCACAACTGAAGCACGAATATGAAAGAATGATTCGAGTGGATGATTGTCTGGTGATGCGAAACACGGACGAATCCATTCCCGGTCTACTTGACTTGACCGGATTAGCCGTCCACCTGCTGCACCCATATGACAGTTTTAGTATAGGTCAAACCTGAGACAGATTCTTTTTTACCACTAAGCCCTTTACTGCTTATGCGCACTTAATCGCACTCAAACAGTCTGACAGGCAATTAATCCTTCCCGAATGCTATCAAAACTGACTGGGTTCAAAACAATCCAGGCAGCTTTAAACCCGGAAAGTTGTCCGTCAACTGTCCGCCATTAGTACAATGGATGAGTAATTAATCCGCTTGATGAAAAAATAACAGAAGCTTGCAAACAGTCACGGTCTAATTCACGTTCAAGTAGTTATATCGCGTTATGTCGCGACGGGGATGATGAGAAGTGTATTCAATTTCCAACACCTGCAGAAGATTCAACTCGTCATAATTGGGTCCATGAAACTGTTCTAGAACCAAGAGTATTTCTTCAATCTGACAGTACCTACTAATCCGCATTACTTCACTACACTACCGCTTCATGACCCCACTTTGTGTTACTATCTCCTGATTGGGTATATGTAGGTTTCTTTGATTTCTCTGTGACCTGGCACCTGTCCGTGTGTTGTGAGCTGCGGAAAGGTCGGAGTTCCATGGGATTGGGTCAATGTTGCGGTCGAGCGCTCCGAATACTCACCATAGACCTTGGTTTTCTACACGGGGCTTGGCCGTACTGACCAATGTCTTTAGTAGACCATCAGGGGATATTCCTCATTCAGACAAGATGTCAGTGAAAGGCCTTTTTCGTGCCAGTTATGTTCCTTGCCGTGGAAAGATCAACGACCTTGTCTAGACATTCGATAAGGTCTAACAACGGTTGTAGACCATCAGATTTTTTTCCTAGCTAAACGTTGAGTGAACTCTAGGTGGGCGATCCGAATTTCACGAACGATTTGGATTCCTCGAGAATCGCTTAACCTGTCAGACCTTATCTCGTCAGTGGTGTAGTTTAATAGGACTGGTGGTGGCGGAAGGTTTTGATACACGCGAGAAATGAGCAAAATCCCCAATGGCTGTTACCCGCAGGCACCGACGTGTGAGCGCGGTGGATGGTAATCCGACTTTTTCAGTTTCATGTACTTTTCGGGTTTTCTATAAACATTCAATATGTCCCCGGGATGACTATCCACTTACTGAATCAAATTTAACGCTAACTTTGATTGAGCAACTCGATTTGAGGCACCGGAATTTACTGTGACCTTTTTAGGATTTGGCATAGCGTACAGAAATGATCAAGGCGATCTTTATGTCGATAACGATTGCATTGTTTTGGACGTAATCTTGTATCAACGTTTCGCACAGTACTGCCGCCTATTTTTTATGGAATGTTGCTTCACTGTAGCGAATCGTGGAAAAGAACGTGGTTGATCTGTCAATGACAAACAGATTTGTCCTCATATCCCAAACAGCCTGAGCAGAACGAGCACGTAATATTACAGTTAACTCATAATTTATGTTTGTCAGTCTACGGTTGATTCTTTGATTTGACGTATTAGTTTTTATCAATCTGTCTTCTTACAAACAGTATTCTCCTTTTTTCGTTGTGAAAAGAGGAACATTATAGTGGGACGCATGCTCGAATGGCAATAACTAGTTCAAACGTATCAATAAGTGGAAAGATATCTAATAGACAACGTTTTACATGTGTTTTGCGCGTTCGTACATGAAAATCCACTGACGCGCATCTCACAATAACAACATGAAAATAAGTTTCTACAACCCCCTATCAGTCAGCCGTAAAATCTATCCCCGCATTGTCTGTGGAACTGTGAACGTTTTCAATAAATCTATCTTCTTCACCGACTCAACTGCCCAAATATTCCCGAGCAGTCCAAATATATCAACTGGATTTGAAGTGGGAAACCGGATATTTCTCTTCCATTACACCCTTGTCATATCGAAAATTACTGTCCAATACAATTCATATATACCTGTATTCTTTCAAATCATACTCCTGGACTCTCCGGACCCGTTATCTGAGGAGTTTTTTCCAGTCAAACGAGCAACGCAAAGTATTTCTAGATATGCAAGTAACAACAACAACGACCGCTTGCGATTGTGTGTGTCCGAGCGAGGTGCCGTGGGGGGGGGGGGGGCNGAGCGCATTTCTGTCTGACATCTGACTATCTGGGCGCTCCCGGTCTTCTCCTGCTCTAAATCCATTTACGTTATCCGGAAAAAAATATTTACCCTCCCAATACACTCTCACGACAATTTTCTCAATTCTCCCTGTTACCTGATTAGCTTTCTCGTTTCAGTGATTTATCAAGGAAACATTCTCAGATTAAACTGAACAACTCCTCCTGTAGCCATGTTCAAAATCTCACTTTCCATCAACAGGATGGGTGTCCGAACCTGTTATTATTATTACCATTATAATCAAGCTTTGGATAAAAACAAAATTTGTAAGATGCCGTTCGCTAGACGGGAACGTAGAATTAGTATTTGTTACACAAACAGCCACTCATGACCGTGATCATTTTGATCACGAGCATTTTCACCGTTACATGTTCAGTCCGTGATCAGATGGATAAACAAATGGAACAGGAGAACCACAGGCTTTTCATTCTACAAAATTATGAGCTGAAATGGTTGAATACAAATACATCTGCGAGTTGTACAATTGTGTCCAAGAGAATGAATTAAAAGCGATAGAGTCTCGAACAAACGGATTGATATCCATAATTCGAAAAAGTGTGTTTATTTAGTTTGAAACGTAGTGCATAGCTGTCGGTCACTCAGTACGCAAACTGTCAAATTTGTTGGTATCCGTTTACTGCGTTGTGCCTATTCTCTTGTGCATTCCACATTTTGATGTCTCAGGTACATTAGCCATCATTCGATCATGGCAGGTAGCCACCCCTGTCTGCTCATCCCCATGCTCATCTCTCCACCTTTTTTCCTCCCTCGCTGTCTATCTCTCTGTGTCTCTCTGTCTAGTGGCAGTTCTTTATTTGCCATTGAGAACGGTTCCGGACTATATGATTTTGTTATGCAAAAACGCCAAGCCGAGTTGGAAGGCCAGTCCAGGAAACCGGTGTCGGATTTCGATTCCACATTCATTTCAGTCGATCTGTTGGCGCACACCGGACATCGAATAGAGGAAATGCTCAAAAGGTGAATCTTGGGTTGGATCGGTCAACTGCCGGATGTATTGGTCGTTATGGCTAGCGCGCGCGCGCACACACACGCGCGCACACACACATCCACCTATTGACGTTTTTCACTCAGTCACGCGTGCCCCTATTCGCACATCGTTTCATTTCTCTGTCTGACTCGTATTGGTTAGGGGAACACTGACTGACCATCAGGGCTTAAACGATCATAAGGAATCGTGAACAAATGACGCTTGTTTGTTGTATTTCTCAGCCCTATGCGCTTGTGGAATTCATAGAATCATCTGTGCGAAGATTGGTCATTCCAAGCTTACAGTACAACCATCTTGTGTACGAATTGAGCTCTTGTTCTCAGTGTAACTAAGATGCAAAGCATTACAAAAGCGTTTTTTTTATTGGCAAAGTATGAGACATTTTCGCCTGAGTTGTTTCATTGACCTTTCAAAAGAAGACATTAGGGTTGCAGAATGCAGAATCAGACAGTTTGTTCAGGTTTGGCTGAATACAGAGCTGAGGTTTGCAAATATGGCACGGATGGCTGCTGTTCGAAGTGCTTTTTATTCCATACTCAAGCTAATTTGTATAACTTGTACAACTTGTGTAAGCCTATAGGTTTACATTTCAGGTAAAAATGTACACTGTTAGTCACGCAGAATGAACCATACAGTTTCATATAACACGCAGAATGTTCCTGAATTTCGTTTTTCTTATGCAGCACGTTTGACGTAGTTCACTGTCAACCTGTTCCTTTTTGGTTAGGAGTCGGGCCACGTAGGGTACAGGAGCATTTTTACAAATGTTAATGCGAGATGGTAGATGCCAAAATGAGGAGCGTGTCGACGGATGAGAACGACAAGATGATAGATCGGCATGCAGTGGATGAAGACGGTTGTCTAGAATCTTATGAGAAAATTTAACATAATATTCGATGTGACCATCAATGAATGAGTTCTGTGATTAATGAATTGATCGAGATCAAACCACAACGAATGGTTTTAAACTCTTGTTTTCAAAGACCGGGAAACACTACAGGGGAGCAATGGAGTAGAATGAATAAAACGCATTGGACAGGACTGACTTTGTTGTGTTCGAAATTGCTTGAGTTTGAGTAACTGAAAATACATGTGTCTTAGTTTTTCCATGCAATGAAGATTACTGTCGATGGTGACACCCAGGTACCTGAGTGAGGTCATTCTGAGTACAGGTTGACCGTTAAGGGCAGCAGAGTCCGTTGTTAATGAGGAGCGGGAACGACTGAAAATGTACTTTACGCACTTAGATATGTTAAGACTGAGACCAGAGTGATAAAAAAGCTGTTGGATGTTGGATAGGTTTTCAGTAAAAGAATGAAATTCCGAACGAGATGAAATTGTCTGACATAAAATGACGTCCTCAGCATACTTTTGGGTGTGCGCTGGAGATGGGACCGAAGGATCACTAAAAAAAGGTAGAAAAAAGATTAGCAGTACCTGGCATAAAACCACAATTATTAACAAGAGGTTTTGATTTTCTCCTTTTTAATTTGGTGCGCTGGACTCTTTGTGTGTGAAATAGTCAACAAGCCATGAGAGCAATTGTTTTGGAGTGCCAAAAGATTCAACGTTTAAAAAGAAGCAGAATCACACGCGGACGAATGGTCAAGAAAAACACAACGGTCAGACTTGGCTCAGTGGCTCAGTGAATTACTGATAAAATGGATTGGAGTGAATACGGCGTCCAGTCTAGATCTGTTTGCTTTATATGCAAACTGAGAGGGGTTGTAAGGAATTGTGGTGATTGATTGCAAGCGACTCAGGATGACCTTTTCAGTCAACTCCATAGCCGCTGAGGTCAGCGTGACAGGACGAAACCGTTTCGGAAGAACAGTCGAGGACGACGATTTGGGATTGAAAAAATGGTAATTGGACGCCAGGATTCAGGAAGCAATCGGGAAAGAAAGGGACTCCATCAAGGCGGACGTCATCCTTTTGGTTAGGGAAGCTGCTCCAAATTTCGAAAATGCCGGAGAAGACAATCAGGGTCTCCAGCCGAGGGATGTTTTGAAGGATCAAAGAAGCTTCATCATTGAAAAAAAGGCACTGAACTGGATTCATTGCATGGAAATGAGGGAATATGGCTCTCATGTGACGAGTGAATGAAAGCGGCGTTCAGGCTGTTAACGTCCACAGAGGTGTTGATTGATCACCAGGACGCTGAACACATTGAGGATTTTCGGGCTGACTGCGATCAATATTTGTCTAGGGTAATGCATCACATGAACAAAATTATTTATGCCGGTTACGTAAATAGCAACCGCAATGGCTATGCGATGTACTGATACGCACTCCATTTCATTGGATGGGTCAACGGTTTGGGTAAGTTAACTGTTCATCAAACTGATTACCAGAAATTCCCGAAAATGTTTAACAAGGCAGTCGATGGCGCCTTTCGCCCATTGGGTATCGCTATTCAACGGATAGAACAACACAGAAGTATTCGGCTAATCAGGGGTGGTGTGCTCTGTCTGTGGTCAACGTTAAGAAGCGCTGATCTGAGGTGACCTGTTCGGAACTATACGGTACAACCACAATTCGCGAGGTTAGACTCAACGACGTTAAAAGTGTAGGCGGAAGCAAATTAAGAGGATGAAAGAATCACACCGGATGCGCATCAGTAGACCAACTCATTCAATCGGCACGTCGAAATCGATAAACATGGTCCAACAAATGCACAACCAATGGAGAACCTGGGATTGATGGAAAAGCAGGCGGACAATAAACCACGGTACGCGGTACAAACAAATTCATTCGCATACAAAGCGATTTGACAAAGATTGGATTTGGGTGTCACAACACAGACTGTCACTACTCACTCTGGTGTTCTGGTGTTCGAACACACGACCAATTGTATTTTTAATTTCGCACGCAAATTCCAGGTGGCGATTGAGAATCTTGCCAAACTGTTATCTTATCGCAGTACATTTAACTGAATCAAAGCTTCTGCGCGAATCACCTCATTCTGGGGAGTTTTCTTCTCTTGTTTACTTGTATTCCTGTGGTCTGAGAAACAGCTTTTCCCTTGACTGTGGATACTGTTTGTTGTACGCAAGACCTTTTAACCACCGTTCAGATTCCGCTCATCACAGAGACTCCTACATTCCACACTGAATGCTGCACAAATGTTTAATTCGTGGAAAATTTAAGCTTTGACACCAAATTGGACATGATTCGGACCGAGCTCGTTCTCTCTATTGGTCAAAGCAAACAGATTGCCCTAGCTTGATTTTTCTCCTCAATCCCCGGTGTTGATGGACAGTTCGTGTTGATTAAAACAGTTCCACAGATGTTCCTATCCCAATTATGACTCGTTTGTTCTTCTCCCCGTTTGTGTTTTCAGCTGTCAGAGTGGCGATCGGCTGTACAAGCCGAGAAATTTCTCTTCCATCCGAACACCACACGGTCTATGTCACATGATCAGCTTAGATCCGTCAGGTGAGTGAATTGACTGTGCTGAGGGTGATTTCAATCGGTTCCAATAGATAATTTCTATTCAGTAGTGGGTGTAGTTCATTGAGATAAACAGAACTCGCACCCTGTTTTACTGTTCAGCATTTGACCTTACATTTCAG